AGAGGGAGGGAGTGAGTGAGTGAGAGAGAGAGAGGGAGTGAGAGAGAGAGAGAGAGAGAAATGAAGGAGGTGAGTGATACTATTGATTGCATAATTATTAATATGTATTAAACTTAATCTACTATAAGGTGTAATGCATTGCACTCTGGAAGAGGAGGAGTTGAGTATCGATAGATTGACCCCAAAGTATGAGAGGTTAGGCAATGGCGTCGAATGTCCTGAAAAAGTAGACCTAATTATGGCGAAATGCAAAGAATTGGGCTCTACTAATGATACGAGTGGTCAATTGTAAGTATTAACCATATTTAAATAAATGTCATTAATATACACTATTAATTTATTATGTAATAGACTTTAAATTACATTTGTAAATTTTAAATTTAATTTTAATACATATAGAGTGGCCAATTATTTAAGTGAACTTATATTTATTTTGTGTCATTTAGAAATTAAGAACGTTTTAAAATAAAGATACAAACAGATTTTAGTTAAAATTTTACAAGACAATCTTTAGTAACATTGTTTATGATTTTTAGAATTTAGAATTTACTATTAATAATACTTTTTTTGCTATTAAATTTTAATTATAAATAATCAGAAGCTGCTATTAATTATAATAATTATTTATACAAAATATATGTTTTAAGTAAAACTAATAGACATGATATACATGTAAAGTAAACTTTAGTAAACTAGTACAGTATAGTAGTTTAAAATAATTTATTATTATAGTATAAATGTTAAGTTTATAAAGTTAGTTATCCGTGTCATATCTATGATATAAGCATCCATTTCTACGACTAAATATAAATTAATGAAAAAAATTAGTAAAATATTAAAATTAATCTTAAAACATAATATTGATTGACAAGTACCATAAGTGTATAATGATAGTATAATATCTCAACAAGTTAATATATTATGATAAAACCGTCCAATTATTAAAACAATTCACTAATTGACCATTTTTAAAAAACACCTAGGTTTTGGGACGTATTGCATGGCATGAAATTTGTCGGTTACCTAAAACCCATTCTCCGTGACGTGATTTTGGAGAGCCCTAGTATTTCGTTCTACGAGAAAGTTAATAACTACTGCAAACTGCAAAATGACACCATGTTGAAATATTGCGCTATACTCAATTCGAAAGTGGTCGAATCGAAAAAACTACGCGATCGTGTTCTTGGTTATCTAACCGATGCTGCCAACCAAGCTAGAATTAATTTGGGCGAAGTACTATGGTATGGTTTAATTTTTATATATATTTAAATTTATGTCAGTGTGTATAGATTAAAAGTATATAATATATACTTAAAATATTATTTTAAACAATGTCATTTGTATATATAAGAATGTCACATTCATTTTATAATAAATTTAATTCTATCTTTATTAGATATTATATTTATGTCAGATTAAGATTTTATTTTAGATTCTATATATAACATTAACATACAATTTACATTGTTATATTATTATCTAATTTAACACAATTTTAAATTTTTAACACAGATAATAAATTCTATTATAAATCCGTTCGGCCATATATTACCCCCCTCCCCACCCGCTCTATGGGATTCCAGCTTAAGGCTATTGTTATACTTTATCATGGGCTAATATTAAGTTTATGACATATGATTAAGTTTATTAAGATTGAAATTATTTTTAATTTTACCTCTAATGTTAATTATATAATAACAATAGTTAAAATTTAAAATTGCAGTTTAAGTCAATGACATTAAGATTAAAATTGTCAATGCTAAATCTATAGATAATGCTAATCTATTCATTAAGCATCACCCGAATTGTAATTCGGCGTTGGTCACAAAGTACTTGCGCACTTTTTTTTTATAAAATTTAGAGCCCCTCCTCCTTACGTTATCAAGTATGTCATTTAAAAAAAGTACGTTTGTATGTCCCGATTATCCCTCTTACCAAAGCTATGTCTATTCAAAATAAGTCTTATATTTATTCTAAATTTGTGATCAATTTGAATTAATGCTGTTGTTAATAGTAACAGTTGTTAGATATAGTTGTTATCACAAGATTAAAGCTTATTAAAATCCTTTAAATTCATCAAAAGATTTAAATGGGAACGTTTGCAATATCTCTATACCCCCTCACACTCGTTTGCAAAAGTTCGTTTTGGCCGACACCCCCTCCCCCCAAGTGCGCACGTACTTTGAGGACAACTTCTTACCGGTCGTTTGCATATTACAGTCGCACTTTAGGGAGAGGATGGAGTCGACCAAAGTAATCCTGTTCAAACGAGGGGGAGGGGTTGAGACTTTATAAACGGTCGCAATAAAATAATTTAGACTTAAAATTACTATTTTTAACCACGATTCATATACAGGGTGTTTTTTATTGGACTACAACATTTTAAAGTCGAATATCTCGAAATGTTTCAGATAAATAAAGTTGTTTCAAAGCTTTT